TCATTACACCAAATACACAACATAATGTTCTTTTTAGCAGCATCATATGACCCCTTTAAGTAGCAAATCAGACGCTGAAGACTGGAGTAATGATGCTGAAAATTCAGGTTTGATCACAGGAATAAATTACATTTCAAATTAAATTTAACAGCTCTCAAATATATTATTAAATTGTAATCATTTCACAATATTAACTTTTTACTGTATTTTTGACTTTCTGACCCCAAACGTTTGAACGGAAGTATATATGAAATATGAAATGTTGCACTTCCAATCATAAATCTACACATTTTCACACCTTCTGTTATGACTGTTCAATGCAAGTCACAGCATGGACACCTAAGTCACATTTAAAAAAAAATGTCTGAATGTCTTTGCATTTCATATTATATATATATATACAAACACATGCATGTATATATTTCTGAAAAATATTATATTTGTATATTAAATATATTTATATAATATAAATGTATACACATGTAAATATTTCCAAAATATATACTGTACGTGTGTGTATTTATATATACATAAAAATACACAGTACACACACATATGTAGACTGGAGGAAGTCGTGGCCTAATGGTTAGAGAGTCGGACTCGTAACCCAATGGTTGCGAGTTCGAGTCTCAGGTCCGGCAGGGATTGTAGGTGGGGGGAGTGAATGTACAGCGCTCTCTTCCACCTTCAATACCACGACTGAGGTGCCCTTGAGCAAGGCACCGAACCCCCGACTGCTCCCCGGGCGCCGCAGCATAAATGGCTGCCCACTGCTCCGGGTGTGTGTTCATGGTGTGTGTGTGTTCACTGCTGTGTGTGTGCGCACTTAGGATGGGTTAAATGCAGAGCACTAATTCCTAGTATGGGTAACCATACTTGGCCACATGTCACGTCATATTACATTTAAAAAAATATTTTCAAAATCATGATTAATCATTTGACAGCACTGATATATATATATATACACACAAACAGACTTTTTTTACTCTAATACAGTAATATTAATACATTAGGTGTGACTTGTGTCCAAATATTTTGCATTAGTCAGACTCAATGGGATTTTTGCTGTTCACACTCATCCAAAAACAGAATCAGTCTCAAATCAGGTTTGGGACGCGTGCAACTGCGATGTGAACGTAGCTTTCCTCCCCACAATGTTTCCATCCGGCCATGGTCTTACGTTCCAGTGACATTCATCTGTCTGTCGGCTTCATGGCGGCACAATTCAATACTTCAGTTGACAACACATCGCTAGGAGGAACCATAGACCCCATCCATGAAGTTCTCTTATTAATACTGACAAACAGCAACACTTGATAAAGAATCATCTCTAACCAACACAACGAAGTGCTTGTCAGGCAAACGTAGCTCTGTCCTTGGAGAACTTCAGGAAACACACGGCCCAATCAAGTGCTCATAAGGGCAATAGGATTTACAAATAAGGCATAAATTATGTTCATCTAAAAGGAAAGGAAGATTAAGAATTATTTGGGCGATTAGGGAGTAGTGGCTGTTTGAAAATAATCCTTTTATCCTTTATTCTTGCGATAATGTGGATTATAGCAGAATACCACAGTTGGAAGAGAAGCTTCCACAAAAGGGGGGGGGGGGGTGATCTTTGAGACTGATAATTTAAGCCATTGCTTGGAATTAAATTTAGCTGGTTCTGGCATTTACAGCATGCCTCACTTGACAAGGTGAAAAAAGCATGGATACACACAGCATTAAATATTAATGCCTTCGCTTGTCACTTAGGAAAAGACGTGTCCCGTGTTTAAAGGGACAGAGGTACTGCTGCCATGAGGGCTCATGTCTGAAGTGCCTGTAAAACCGTACAAAACGTTGACCTGAATGGCAGTTTCTGTCCCAGAGAATGCTTTCTTCGCCTAATTCCTCGGGAACGTAACAGGCTTAGCGTTAGTCTGTCGCGAGAGCGTGACGTAAGGGATTACCGGTAAGATTCGGCACTCTGGGATTACAGGCAAAAATGACACAGTGAAGTGGAGATCAAATTCAGCTCGCTGGTATCGTGTGTCAAAGACGTGAGATCCCCGACTCACAGAGGCTTACGGTTGTGTGTGTGTGTTAGCATCTCCCTGTACGCTTTTCCCTGAAGGTGAGAGGTGTGGCATGCATTAGTACACTGGCGTTTGTTGTAGTGAGTAAGTAACTCTCTCGGTGCTAATATGTGAGGTTTCGTGTGTTTAATCGAGGCTGGTTGTTATTCTGGATCATTAGGTGTAAAGTATCTCGAGTAAACTCACTTCCAGCACAATGCCACGGTCTTAGATCAGTCAGCTAAAGTTATACCGCTAAAGAATATGGACTCATTGTGTTGTCTAAAAGAGCAGCTGGTACTTTCAACAAACAAGGTACAAATTATGTTACTTTAAAACAATTAACATAGGATTGAAATTACCAACATTCTCTTAAATGGACAGTTCACCCAAAAATAAAAATTAATTCCCCCGCATGTTGTTCCAAACCTTGGTAACCAAACAGCTGTTGGTCCCCATTGACTTCCATAATATGGCAAAAAATACTATGCAAGTCAATGGGGACCGGGAATTTGAATTCCCATATTCTTCAAAATATTTTCTTTCAAAATTCATCAAAAGAAGTTCAAGTTTGCCAGCATGGCAGAAAGTAAATTCCATAACATTTTCTCAATTTTTTTTTTTTGCACAAATCGCAGCGTTTACTGCATTCATTTAACCATTCAAACCTGTTGATGAAGGTTTAACCTGTCTGGCACGTCCAGAATTTTGGTAATGGGATTGCAAAAATGGCAAATCTCAGACCCCCCCAAAAAAACAGAAA